ATGCCGAGGCTCTTAAAAGAACCAGCAGGATCGAAGTTTATGGGCAGTGTGTAGACTAGGCTGTGTTCACTGTTACATGTAATGTAATTCATGTTCCCCGCTCTCCTACACACACGAAATAAAAATTAAATGGCGTAAGGCCAGAAAAATATCACTTTCTTTTCCAGAAAAGTTGTTGTGTAATGTGATTTTTTGCTCTTTTCTTGGGACAGATTTTCTGGACAGCTCTGGATTCCGGTTCTATTACACGCCTAGCCTTCGGCAACACAACGCGGGCATGTTTATAGTGGGAGTCTTCTCCATGTGGTGGATGATTATCCCGCCAAAACAAAAAAAGTTTATCCTGAAAGGGTGGTGTCTGGAGGAATGCACTGAAATGGTATTACACAGTGACGAGAATCCTGTTTATGAGTGATAAAGGAAGCATTTTCAGAGCACCAGTCGTTAGAAATTGTTTGAATGTGTCCCAAATTTGGTTTCTTTTCAAATTGTTCTTTAAATCAGACTTTCTCTGTTCTTGATCTCTTGTTTTTACAAGTACTTCCCTCCCGAAGGAATCAAGGTGTTTGCAGCATTTGCACACACACACCTCACTGGTAAGTCTTCTTTTATACTAATGTATTATTTATAACGCATCACGTACCACATCACGTATTTAATTAATTAAAACGTGTCATGTCACGGTGAAACTGACAAATTTAGCCAGGAAGGATTCACGAAGTGTCTCTTGGTTGACAGCCGAGTCAACTTATCACCTGATAACTGTCTGAGGTGTTACTTTCCGTAAAGTTTCCCCTCAAAATAAGCTCATCAAGGTGCCGCACATTATGTGATTGTGTTTCATATATAGAGGTATATTTTTGTTACAAATTTATTGAAAATAAGGTGCTTTTTCATTTCAGGTTCGCTCGATAGTTCAAGCATTCCTTAATTTCACTAGTTTCACTAGTCTGAAAATAATTTAAGATTCGAAATTAATCTTTGGACCCCGTTGCGCTTTAGACAATGTCGAGCATTAACTGTCCATTCAGACATATTCATTATAATTGTTTACAACCGGTGTCAATTCACAGGCGACAAGTTTAAGTTTCGTCAGTTTCGAAATGGCAAGCTCGTCGACGAAATCCTTAGCGAGGAATATTTTGACAGCGAATTTCAGGTACATAGTGTTTGTTTGTTGGTTGGTTGGTTGGGTTGTTTGCTTGTTTGCTTGTTTGTTTTTGTTGTTTTGTTTTGTTTTTTGTTTTTTGGCAACGCATGTCTGTACTTCGCAGAACCGGTGTGCCCGGCCCGCCGGATCCTAACTACGCATTCTTTGTAGGCTATGTGTAAAGAACATGAACTCAAAAAAGGCCCGAACTTGAATGCATATGAAAGAGTACACTTTTGACGTTTATTTTGGAGTCCAGTAAATCGGACTTTGTCGTATACTTTATGTATAGCCAAACTGCAATATATGCTTATTATCAACATTTCTGTACACTTCGGTCAAAGAAACAACTTAATTGAGTTTGGAGAATTCCCAACGGTAAAGCCAGTGCAATTACTGACGAAGAACCTAACAAGTTTTAAACTCTAACCCCCAGGGTGTATGGGAATATGTAAAGTGGGCTTCAACGCACATTACCCTCGCGAAAATCATGTGATAATCGCGCAGATTTTATATCCATACAAAGTATTGGACGAGCTCTGGATCTGTCTGACGAACACTAGGGATCTATCAATGACAAGAAGAACACTTTCACACTACACCAGCGATCGTGAGGTATGGATCCATGCGATTTCATCACAAGGAACCCCTGTTTTCAGCTCTCGGTGTGAAAAGGGCCTTTTTAAAAATAGATTTTTTAATACTAATCAAACGATTTTTCATTTCGTTGCTGAAAGACATTTTTCATTTTTTGTAATAACGATTTTGTTGTTGTCTTTGCTATGTACAGGAAATACAGCGACTTCAGAATGAGAAAACAATTATGCCGGTGAGTATTGACATATCACTGTAAACGAAATTAGTCTATTTGACTAATAACACTTAGTCCAGCTGTATGTTTAAAAAGACCAATGACTAACATTTATTAATCTAACAGGAGCCAAACATTATTCAACTTTGACCAACGTCAGTCACAGTTTTGAAATAGAAGTCATCTATAGACCCGACTTACCTATTACTAGTCATTTTGAACAAAAAATGACCAACAGAGGTGACGTGTCATGTCTCTTCAAGTTTTGTAAAAGAGGGACCCAGTGAACTAATGTTCTGCTGAATGACTTGTCTACGCCTCCAGAGGAGCATGAAATTGTGGGCTGAAACGATTCGCACAATAGTATTGCCAAGATGGTAGCAAAGATAGTTTCTGCACAGAGAAACGAAACGGAGAAAACAATTATCAGAAAACCCAAGCTTCAGCAGCTCCAAACACTTTTTCTTTAAAATTACAGAAAGTGCAGACGACACAAGTTTTTTTTCCAATTTTCACAAACAGTGTCTTTTTACTAATTGGTATAGGAATGACGTTGTCTTCTCTGCTGAAGTGAATTGCTTGAAAGATCAATGTGTATACGCTTTTCCACACGACCTGCAATCGGTGGGTGTGAAGTACATGTACATGTATTTGGGTAATCCAGGTTTCACGCACGGTTTTCCCATCTCCGGCCCAAAATCATCAGGAGAAACTATACCAAGCTGCAGCAAAGGAGGGTAGGGTAGGGACCAACCGGTGCCCCCTTTTAGGAGTTTTGCCCTTGTTACGCCACTGGGGAGAAGGAGGGAGAACAGGGAGAACAGGTTTGAGAGATTTTCAACACCCTTCCCAAATAATTGTTCGCACTACAAAGATGAAAACAAGTCACTGGTTAATGTTTTCATGAACAGGGTGATGTCTTAATGACTGAGTGTACATTCAAGACGACGGACAGGACTAATATAACATATGTAAGTTCAGGTTTCCTCTCGTAGATTCATTTCATTCACAAACAGCCTCAAACCACCCCTAATGAACATATTTGAAAATAAACGGAAAGTGACCAAGTACTCTCCATAAGTATTATAAAAAAAACAATATTTCAATATTTCTTTTATGTCATAGTTAGAAGTATTTCACTTTTCATGACGTGGATCAGTGCTTTTAAAAGTGCATGGTTTTTTTTAAAGTTCTGTCCAACATTGATCAAATATCAACATCCTACACAAGTCTTTTCGCCAACACACATGTTCTGATCAAAAGTGTAAAAAAAAAATAACTTGCACCATAGATATTAAATCTTGTATAATGTGTCACCTCAAGTTACAGCAATGTACGTCAAATTCACGTACCTTTCCTTCCACAATAAAGCTTCAATTCCCCACCAACATGTCAAAGTGTCCACGCCATGTTAGATATTAAAATCCGCTTTCCCTTGTCAGGGTGGATGGGGAAGAACCGACGAGATGTGCTTATCGGTGCCTTTTTACTACCCGAAAATTGACAATTTCGGAGATTGCACGTCCACCTCGCAGCCCGTGGAAGTACTGAAGCGTCTCGGCTACAAAAACGCAAGGTGTGACAATGGCTTCGCTTTAAACAGTTTGCATAAAGGTTCAACTAGAAGCAGACATCAAACAGACCAAAGCACTGAACTACTGGCCCTAAAAGAACATTTTTCCCGGATAATTTCAAAGCCTGCCCTCTACCAACAACCGGGCTGTCCAAACCCTGTTTTAAATTTTCTGGCAAGCATGTTGAGACACGCATAATATTTAGTACACCTGTGAAGTTTCAGTGGTCGGGAATAACCTTGTGTAAACTTTCGGTTGACTGAAATTTAAAAGTTTGAATGGGACTTAATCATCAGTTTGTGCTCATTTTTACATTGGCAAGGACCAAATTTACGAATGCGCACCGCTTCTACTTTTTGTGCATATGAGAGTTTGTTTCCAACATTCTGTGAGGGCTACGGAGGAACATGAGAACGATAGGTCCTCGAACAAACAAAAGTGCATTAATGAGACGTAAACAAATGAAGGCAACTTGGGCCAGTTGCATGCATGCATTTCCCCGTACTTGCACGTATAATGTTGCATTGTCTCAAACATAACCTATCATGACGCTTGGAATTTGCTGTAAACACCTTCATACAGTTGCTTACCACAACATCGGAATATTGATATTGCATATTATAAAGTTTTTAAAATTTATTTTCTTAATTTTGCCTCCGATACATTTTAGCGAATTGCCTGTGGAAATGGACCAGGACAGTACCATCAAGGCCTTCGAAAGTTTCAACTGGACAGATGCCAGCTTTGTCTCGAAGTTCAAAAAGGCTGTCGAAAAGGCCAACCTGTATTTTCGATGCGACAACGAAACAAGACTGGAGCAAATGGTAAAGTTGATGGCCTTTAATTAAGAATCGCTGAAAGTGTGGAAAGTCAGGTGATGAAGGGGAGATGTGTAAAGAAGGGGGGGATATTTCGTCAGTTAAGGCGCTAGTGTGGATATGCTCTCCAACAGGTCATTTTCCCCCCATTATGTGCAAATCAGATAGGTAGCCACCGTGTCAATCAGCGAAGGTCCCTCCTTATTTTATTTTACCATGACCGACCCACTTTGACTTGTTAAATTAAAATATTATCTGACCCTTCTTTGTATCTGTAGGACCCATTTGCTGAATGGAAGGCCCCTCAAGTTGAATATCCTGATGACTACGATGGATGCTGATGTAACAAGAATCGAATGGAGTCGAATTAGTATTGAATCGATTCAAAACAAAAGTACATTTTGCTCACCGGCACAATGAAATAATTAAGCCGGTTAAGATTACATGAGTTCTACGAGACTTCCACGTCGGCATTCAAAGTATGATGAAAGTGTTTAAACAAAACAGAAAAATTGTAAAGTAACTTGATTAAATTGTATATAAAACGTCAATATACAACGATAATTTTCCGACAAGGAGTTAACAATAAACGACTGTAAGTTGATAGGGAAGGATTTTTGTATCTATTTGGGTCAATCGATGCGGCTAATTCATGGAAACAAATTAATAATATCCTTTCTCCTCTTTATTTCACAAATTCCAAAGTTCCATCGTAGCTATTGTTATTTCAGGGGCGAAAAGAAAAGGTGTCGCCTGGGTTGAGGCGGTCGGAGGGTACGCTACAGCTGTACAGGCGTACGGATGACCAAGTAATAGAAGTGTTGAGTAATTTTCCCTAGTCCAGTGCAACCTTGTTTCACAGTCCATTGCATCATTTTGTGTTTGATCTAAGCAAAATGAAAGTTCTATAGTTGTAGCTAATGTGACTACTTTTGATTTTTTTCACCGCTAAGAAAAGTTAAGCCTTTAAGGCACATTATTACTGTTGTGATAGGAACATAGGAACTTATGTTTAGTAATGGTAAGCAAATAAAAATGACTTTGGTCAATTGAAATGCTTTTTATTACGGTTGTTTGAAAAATATTGAGGGCTAAGTTCCAGGAAATTTACCCTCCGACTGCTTTTCCGGCCAGTTTAGGCGCCTATGTATACTCTTTGACTTAATTAAAATTTTGATTTTGAGACACCGACATTTTTAACAAGTTGTTTGCTGCAATTTTTCTTCACAGAATGAGTTTAGTTAAACTAAGAGCGGATCCAGGGAAGGAGCCAACAGGGACTAACGGGGCCATGCCCCCATAAAAAATGAGAGCCATTTTTTTTTTCGAAAAATAATAGAGAAATTTTACCATTTCCGTTCCCTCTCAAAGCAAATGAAAGCCCCAAAACGACAGCCGTACTCTCAACAGATAGAAAAAGTTTGGTGAATTAAATTCCAAACCTTTTGGCCGTCGAGAACGAATCCTTCCTAACTATTTGGTTACGATCCGTTCGTGGTTTCCTCGAGGAAGTGGTGGTATTTTTGGGGGAGTTCGGCTTTCCCGCTGATGTTAACTAGTCTGTGGGAACCTTTGTTTGATATTGGAAATCAGGTATCATTTCGATTCCCCCAAACTTTTCTTTTCCTCTATAGGAAAACAATGCAGTCTAGCATCCCCCGCAGCAAGAACTAGACTGCGGGAAAACAGACTTTATTATATACGGTCCGAACTAGACACGCTAGTTGACTAGTACGGTTGCAGGCTAGGGTGGGCAATGGCTTAAATTTGTATTCAACATGCAGAATGGCTTTTTATAGTTCTTCCTCTTGGATTACTAATTTTGGCTGAGGGGAAGTCCGAATTAAAGCGGATTCTTCACAATCCGCTTTAATTTTTTTCTCACCACCATGGGTGTGCTCGTGGAGGGGGTGTGTATGGAGGGGTTAATAATGCCCCCATCCCCCTCTGGGATGCGGGGAGCGGGGGTCACCTCCCTGCTCTGACACCCACATTAGACATAGATAACAAACACAAATCATTATTGTAATAACAAAAATGATGAAATGCGGTAAGTGTTGTTGTTTGTACATCAATAACAATGTCACAAAATGTTTTTGTAGGTTCATGATGTGTCCGCCTGGACGGACCTGAAAACAGTCTGAGGGGCCTGACATCCCCCGGAAAATTTTCGGATCCGCCCCTGATTTGGATGGTTTGTTCAATAGAAGCTTGAGTGTCTGAAAAATGTGAACAAAGTTCCTCCAAATGGCTCTTATTTACAATGGAGTGTAGGCACCAATATATAGAATTGCGGTTTCAAGATTGTTTCAAGAAGTGATCATCTTTGGAGTTAAAAGTCATCGGTCTACCCACTTAATTTGGAAAAGAACCAGAAAAAATAAGGATTGAACTTTGATTTGATTTGTGTCTTCAACGCCTTGAAACGTTATTATTTTTGTTGATATTTTTGAGTTGGGGAGGGGGATTTCTCACCAAACGTTGTCGATTCGGCAGTGAATTACAGCGATCCGACCGTACTGCAACCCTGTCATACGCCCATCCCACTGCACCTGTATCAGCACATGGTGGCGCCCTGTTGAAAGATTGGTTTGGCAACCAGAAGCTTTTCTTGGCGATATCTGCATGACGACCTTCAGCGCTCCTGACGATTTGTAAAATAAAAACAAAATAACAAATAAAATAATTTCATCGGTAGGTCCACGATCCACCGCATGTGGTGTTGATTTGCAACATGAAAAATACGGGACAATCCTTGACGTTTTAGGCTGAAAAGGTCTTTTGTTGGGTAAAATATCAGTGAATAATGGAGAATTTGACAGATATAAAGTTTCCTGAGATCCCCTCGATTCATGAAGACGAAGTGGTGGGTTTTGTTTTTGTTGTGGAAATGCCAGATTTAACATGTTTAACCATGGTTTAGCATTAAGGTGCTTTCTGGTAGGCTTAACTCTTTTACTAATTAGTACAGTCGACATCTAACAGTAACAGAGGCTATCTTCGTACCTCAGTTCGACTTCAAAATTTACTAGGGCCTACGATCGTCATAATTCATATGCCGTTGTCATGATCATGGAAATATGATGTAGCCTACCTGCTTTTGCATGTGATGTCACAGTGTTACCCCAGTGTCATGAGTATATGACCAGTGTCGTATTAATTGTCATTGAATCTGTTACACCCCAACTAGGCTACACCCCAACTGTAGTGCGTGTCCCAACTTGTGTATTTGCCATGTGCATTTCACATTGTGTAGGTAGGCGTAGGTATTTTGAGTGTGTAAGGCCGGAGTTAACATGGTTAATAATTGGATTTGATTTTTGTTCTTCAGTGGAGATATTTACTTCAATTATTCTCTTTTTTGGCAACAGGACTGGGTGTACAGTGCAAGGAGAGAAATGCAGGTATGCTATGTGTGCATAAGGAACTCTTTGATGGAAGAAATCAGGAATGAGAAGGAAAGAGTTCCGTACATGTACAGTGTACAAACATCACGTGACATTGTGTGCACAAACTTTCTGCCAGTGGTCTGAAAAACTCTAAGTATTTTCTAATTAAATGTTTTAATATTTTCCTTGCAGAATTTGACATTGTAGGATATAATACACTGATGTCTAATATACCACTGCAGGAAGGAAAATTAGTGTATGGAACTCTTTCAAAAAATATACATACATGTACATTCTGTATTAGACTGTATTAGACTGCTGCTCTAGATGGAAGTTTTTGACAGATTTGAATTTGTTTCCCAGTGTTCAGAAAACTTATGTATACACACGTGCATTTCCTTGTCACGTTTGCCCCTCTTTTTGATAAGTCATGATTCAGTTTGAAATGTATTCCATGTTGAAGTTTCTAGGTACTTATCGGAGATCTACTGATCAATCTCAGGTCCTTCAAGGCAGGGTCATCAATTTCAACTTACTCAAAAGCAAAAACGTTATCTGAACCTGTCCATTCTGCAGGAGATTGTGCCAGGTTTGTTTCTTGGGCCGTACGCTGCTGCGACAAAAAGCCAAGTAAGTGACTAACCTTCCCTCATTAGCTGTACCCGTCACAATCGCTTATGATGATAAGATGACGTACCAACTATGTTTGCAGCATACATTGTAGTATCAACCCAAGTCAGACCATGATTTTGGTTGAGTAACAAGTGATCAAATTCTGCCTCCTGCCTCTCTTACATGTAAATACATATGTATGTGGGAAACCAGCATTGCCTAGGGTAACTGAGCAAGTGAGATCTCAACTGTAACCACATGTATGTTATAGCACGACTATGTGCTTGCTTTGAAGCATATAACGTTCAACTCCAATCAGACCCAAGGTTTGTATTTAGGTCAAATTCTTCCCCAATCAAAAGTACCGCAAGATACTCCATATGGCTTCCCCCACCATGCAAACCTTCAGATCTCATCCCCAGCCCTTGCTCATCCCTTCAACCATGATTGTTTTCGCACACCATATATGGGCTGTGGTTGATGTTCTTTGTAGTTATTATTGTGTCAGTATTGACTTACAGAAAACATCCCCAAGAGAAACTCTTGTTTTACCAGATTCACTGGATAATTATGCCCACTTGTGTCTTTCATCCACCAGTTGCAAGTCTTGCTGGACCATGGTATCACTCACATAGTCTGCATTCGACAAGACATTGAAGCACTCTTTATCAAGCCCAACTTTCCAGAGCACTTTGAGTGAGTGGTGATGTACTGTGTTTACATGTATTCTTTGTGCCAACATACAGAATGTATTTTGAATACATGATTTAGCCACAACATGTGCATGCAGGCCAATGTCATCACATCTGACACAGAATCAAACTGTTACCCTGTTCCCTGGCTTTTGTATTCTGTGTACATGTACATATGTACTAACATGTGACTGCTGTGACATGGGACATGATGTTTTAACACTGGAGGGAATCATAGAACCTGAGACTTCACCTCGGGTGCTACGCTTCCCTGATGAGGATACTAAAACATTAGGTCCCACTCACAGCAGGCCATTTTTTTTTGCTCTGTCTTGATTTTTATGTCTGTGTCTCTGGTATGGACTGTAGGGTGGGAATAAATCTATGATATCGTGATGTGATGTGAGGTGGTGAGTGTGACATGCATTTTTGTCACCCTGTTAATCCCTTCTCGCCGGGACGCGGCTAGAAACGCCGTAAAAATGGAGATCCTCAGCCCACTTTTCAGCTATTACTCTCGGCCCACGCTCGAGCAAACACGGTGAAAGAAGGCAGACCCTGGCTCTTGTATATATGGTGATTGGCCTTTGTGTGTAGCCCAGAAATGAAAAGCCTGAATATGCATCATAATCA